TGGGAGTCCAGTGACATAGCCATTATGCTAACTGCTGGTCCCCCTAAATTGTCATTTTTAAAAAATTACTGGAGCCAGGAGCCAGGAGCCAGCAGGTGGTGTGGTGGCTAAAGGCACTGGACTCCCACATGGCTAACTATGGTTCAAGTCCTGGACCTGGTGGCTTGCTTTCTCACTTTCCTTTTCTCTTTCTCTGTCTCTCTCTCTGATCAAAACTGGAAAATAATAATAAATAAAAAGTTAAATAAAATAATTCTAAGAAAAAAATTACTGGAGTCAGCAGGTGGTATAATGGTTGGGGTGCTGGACTCCCACATGGACAACTGTGGTTTGAGTCCTGGACCTGGCGACTTGCTTTCTCACTTTCCCTCTCTCTCTGCCTCTGGTGAGAAAATAGCAAATTTTAAAAATAATTATAAAATAAATAATTTAAAAAAAAATCACCAGAGGAAGAGCCAGCAGATGTCATAGTGGTTAAGGTGCTAGATTCCTTACATGGTCAACCATAATTCAAGTCCTGAACCTGGTGGCTTGAAACTCAGGCCAGACACTTGTGCGTAGGTGCCAAAAATCCTGGGAGGAAAATGGAGAAGAGATTGAAGCATGGCCACCCCTCAGGGAGTGATTTCTTACTCTTTGTCTCTCTAGCAAGCACATGTATTCTATAGCAAAAATCTCTCTTTAAAAAAAATTATCAGATGGGACTAGCAGTTTGCTTAATGGTTATGTTGCTGGACTTCCATGTTGTCTACCACAGTGTAAGTTCCAGTGGCTTAAACTCATGCCAGGCACATGTGCGTGCGTGCCCAAGATCCTAAGAGGAGAATGGAGGAGAAGGGATTGTGGCATGGCCATCCCCAGGGGTGGGGTGATTTCTTGCTTTCTGTCTCTCTGTCTCTCTCTGTCTTTCTGGCGAGTGCATGAACCTATAGCAAAAACCTCTCAAAAAAAAAAAAAAATCAGAAGTTATGTGTGGTCACCAGAGAGAGCACATGAAAGTAAGAAAGCACCCCCTAATATGATGTGATGATGCTGGAAGGAATCCCTTCTTAATTTCTCTATCCTGTCAGGATTCTGGGCATGCACACACCTGCCTGATATGTTTTTCAAGCCCTTGGGACCAGGATTGAAACTGGTCAGCCATGTGAGATCCAGTTCCCTTAACCACTGTGTTTTACTGCCAGTCCCAAAGCCTTTTGATTTATTTATTTTTTTAATGTATATTTCTCTATCCACATTAATTGTCTTTGAATACTATGAGTAGGAGCAGGGAGTCTTAAAGTCCTTAATGTAACCTCATCAGAGGTGGGAAACTAAAATTGAGTTGGACAAAGGAGAATCAAATCTAATTTTTCATTTCGATGAGTTTTGGATTCTTTTATAGATTATGGGCATTAAAAGGTAATAACTAGTTGTTGCTTGCTGATGAAGACAAATCTAGAAATGAACTTGTGATTTATCTTAGAGCCCAGGAATAACAGTAACATTTTTATGATACTAAGTTGCTTTTGTTTGTTTGTTTGTTTGTAGAGAGATTTTTGCTATAGGGCTCGTTCACTTGCCAGAAAGACACAGGAAGATAGATAGAAAGCAAGAAATCACCTCCAAGTTGGGAGGACCATGCCGCAATCCCTTCTCCATTCTTCTCTTGGGATTTTGGGCAGGTATGCATCACAAGTGGCGGGTTTGAGTTTTAAGCCACCATCTCTGGGACTCAAACTGCAAGTGAGCTTTTTTAAAGCCTCCAGGTCTGGGACTTGAATCGTGATGACTATGTGGGAGTCCAGCAACATAACCATTTCGCTATCTGCTGGTCCCACGATGCTTAAAAAAGTAGATTTGGTTTTGGTTTTGGTTTTGGTTATAGAGTATGTGCGCACACCAAAGAGAGACTGAAAGAAACATGGGAGGGAAAGTGAGAAACTACCCCTCAGGGGGAATGGCCACATCACAATCTATTTTCCTGGGATTTGGGGCATGTACACAGATTTTCAAGCTACCAGGTCTGGAACTCTAACTGCAGTACTCCATCACCTTCACCACTATGTCACCTGCTGACCCCTTCAAAAGTAATTTTTATGTTACCAAATTTCATCAGGTTCTCAGGCTATGGGAAGGCAGCAGTGGCTGGGATAAAGACATAATTTCTGTGTTTTAGAACAATGGGTAAACATTATGTAGGGATGAGGAATATTGAATTAGAAGAATTTTGAAGGGGCTGGCAGGTGGTGTGGTGGTTAAGAGCGTTGGACTCTCACATGGCTGACCATGGTTCAAGTCCTGAACCCGGTGGCCTATGCACGTGTGCTCTCCCTCTGTCTTCTGGTTAAATTTTAAAAGTTAATTAAATAAATAAGCTTCAATAAAATCTTAAAAAAGAATTTTGAGTGAACAATTTAATACATACCGGTTATTTATTTTTTTTAAGTTTTTTTTTGCTATGGGGTACATGTGCTTGCCCAGAGAGAGACAAAGAGAGGGAAAGTGAGAAATCACTTCTGTCAAGGCAAGTGGCCACACTTCAGTTTCTTCTCTTCTCCTCTTGGGATTTTGGTTATGCACACACATGTGCCTGGCCTGATTTTCAAGTCACTGGATCTAGGACTTGAACCATAGTCTGCTATATAGAAGTCCAGTGCCTTAATCACCACTCCACCTGCTGGCCCCGTTCTATTTATTTTAAAGATCTGTAATACCTAATAACTCCCTTTGTTTAGGAATGTAATTTGTATACATTTGATTTGCTTATGAAATAACTAAGATCTGAGGGAAAAGAGGGCCAATCTCATTTTTTCCAGTTAAAATTTAGTAACCCAGCTATGGTGATGCAAGCAGTAGGGTACTACTGCACAAGACTGGGGCTGCATGAGAGGCCAGAGTTTGGTTTCTGTGCCAACCTAAGCAGGCTGGGCATGGTTGGAGGTGTACACCTGTAATCCTAGTTGACTGGGTGACTGGGGCAGAGGATTGCAACCACGAGATCCTGTCAGAAATCTCTCCCCCTTCCCTTCTTCCATGAACATGCATGCACATGCACACACACTCTTTTTCACATTAAACACAAACCAGAGTCCAGAAGGTGGTGTGGGGGTTAAGGTGCTGGCCCACATGTTCAACCATGGTTCAAGTCCCAGACCCAAGGGCTTGAAAATTTCCTAGATATATGTATATTAATTTTTTTTTTTTTTAATTAGAGGCCAGTAGATGGTGTAGCAGTTATATTCCTGGACTCCCACATGGCCAACCACGGTTTGAGTCCTGGACCCAGTGACTTTAAACTCATGCTGGGTGCATATGCATGCCCAAGATCCTGGAAGGAGAATGGAGGAAAAGGGATTGGAGTGTTGCCATCCTCCCAGGGGTGATTTCTTACTTTCCCTCTCATTGTCTCTGTCTTTGTCTCTCTGTCTGGCAAGCACAAGCATGCCCTAAGGCAGAAACCTCAAACAAATCATAATAAATTAGGTACTCCTGGGCCAGCAGGTTAAGGTGCTAGATTCACACACAGGCGACTACTGCTTGAGTCCCTGACCTGGTGGCTTGAAAATCACAGCAAACAAATGAATAAAATTAAGTTAATTAATAAATTTTTTTTAATAAGCTAATCTGGGACCAACAGATGGTGTAGCAGTCATGTCACTGGACTCCCACATGGTCGACCATGGTTGAGTTCCAGACCTGGTGACTTGAAACTCACACTAGCAGGTGTGCATGCATGTCCAAGAGCCCAGGAGGGAAATAGAGGAGAAGAGATTATAGCTTAGCCATCCCTCCTAGGAGATGATTTCTTACTTGCCCTCTTACTGTCTCTCATTCTCTCTCTCCCCAGTGAGAGCACATGCCCTAAGGCAGAAACCTCTTAAAACAGAATTAGCTAATCCTTAGAAAAACAAAAAACACTTCCTAATTTTCTGTCATACTCAGATACTCTGAATTTCAGTCTTTAGTTTTATTGAAGTCTTTTGGGTAAGTGGGTAATATATTCAAAAGACAAAATTAAGACTTTAGAGGTAGTGTTTGAAAACTGAATACTTTATTTCTTTTAAGAGCCTAGCTGGGACCAGCAGTTAGCATAATGGCTATGTCGCCGGACTCCCATGTAGTCAACTGTGGTTTAAGTCCCAGACCCGGTGGCTTAAACTCATACCAGGCGTGTGTGCGTGTGTGCCCAAGATCCTGAGAGGAGAATGGAGGGGAAGGGATTGCAGCGTGACCATCCCCTCTGGGGGGTGATTTCTCGCTTTCTATCTCTCTGTCTCTCTCTGTCTTTCTGGTGAGCGCACGCACCCAATAAAAAAACCTCTCCAAAAAAAAAAGAAAGAAAGAAAGAAAAAAAAAGTAAGAGCCTAGCATTCAAGTCGAGGCTAATACATAAAGTTTTTCATACAAGCCATATTTGCCTTTTTCCATTAGGTGGTAGTATAGTTGTTGAAAGACAATGAGCTTTAGGGGGTAAGTATACCTGGATTTTTAAATCTACTTAAATTTATGTGTGACTTTGGATAAGTTCCTTAATCTTGCACATTTTCAGTTCTTGTACTATAAAATAAAGAGAATGTATTAAATAACATGAAGCATTTAATGCAGTTAATACAATACCTTACCTGTAACACATAATTGTTCCTTTCTTCATGAGAACCCTCATCTAATAGTTAATGTCAGTGACTTTTTTTTTTTTGTTGGAATGTGCGCTCACCAGAGAGAGACAGAAAGAGAGGTAAAGTGAGATGATATTCTATATGGGGAATGGTCACACTGCACTGCTGTCTCCATTTCTCCTTCCCCTCAGGATTCTGGGGATACACATCATAAGTCCTGGACTCAAATGTTAACTGTGCAGTCAGCCCTACAGAATCAAGCCACCCCAGTATTATGCAACAGACTAGCCCAATTTCAGTGGCTTTATGTCCTTCCTGCATAAAAACAATATTTTCTGAATGTAGTTCTGAAAAGAAAGATAGTTCTTTCTGGAATTGGAATGAAATATCACTTTGACTGTAAAGTCAAAACTTTTGTATGCAGACATTTAGGTCCTGAAATCCTGGTAATGTCTAGCACAAGGGCTTCTGTAAGAGAGCAAAATAAAGAATGTTGGAGGCTGAAAGACTCTTTTATCATTTCATACTTTGTAGGTTATTGAAGAGAGGGAAAAACTAAAGAGCGACCGGGAAGCCCGCCAGAAGAAAATGTACTATCTCAGGACCGAATTGGAGCGGCTTCATAAACAACAAGGTACCAGACAGCTCTTTTGTATGACTGCCTTTTTGTAGTAACTTAAATAGGAGATCCAAATGAAGAGATTTTGGTACTCTAAGGTTTGGTAATCTGAAGCCTCACTTTGGTTTTCTTTTCTTCTTCTTCTTTTTTTTTTTGGTGAGAGAAACAGGAGAGGAAGAGAAAGGGAGAGGGAGATAGGCATCCTCAACAGGGTCCTGACACACCATGATCATCCCCAGCTTCAGTTGTCCTTAGATCATGGGTACACATGTACCTGACATGTTCAGGGAGGTCTCTGGATGTGAACCCAGAACTTTACCACATGGGTTAGTCTTGCAGAGAGTTGAATTGAAGTACCATGCCACTGTCTGGCCTCCCTAAAGCCTCACTTTTTGAAACACTTTGACATAATTATACTTAAAGAAAAGTTGCTAATAGTGCAAATAATTCCCAAATATTCTTCCTGTTAACATTTGACTACATTTGCTTGCATCCTTTTACTTCTTTCTCTCAATCTATTTTCTTTGTGTGTGTGTGTGTGTGTGTGTTTGTGTGTGTGTGTAATTTTTCCTGAACTCTTATAGAGTAAGTTGTAGGTATCATGCTTTTTTACCCCTAAATTATTATTTTTTTTTTTGTAGAGACTTTTTGCTGTAGGGTGCGTGTGCTCACCAGAGAGACAGAGAGAAAAAGAGAGTCAGAAAATGAGAAATCAACCCCTAGGGGTATGGCCACTCCCCAATCCCTTCTCCTCCATCGTCCTCTTGAGATCTTGGGCATATACTCACATGTTCCTGGTTTGAGTTTGAAGCCACCAGGTCTGGGACTTGAACCGCAGTTAGCCATGTGGGAGTCCAGTGACATAACTGCTACACCATCTGCTGGTCACTACCCCTAAATTCTTTTTCTTTCTGTTTTTTTTTTTTTTTTTAGGGTTTTTTGCTGTGGGCCATTTTTTTTTTAGAGGTTTTTGCTGTAGGGCACATGCACTCGCCAGACAGACAGAGACAGAGAGACAGAAAGCGAGAAATCACCCCCCTGGGGGGGATGGCCATGCCACAGTCCCTTGTCCTCCATTCTCCTCTCAGGATCTTGGGCATGCACACACACACACGCCCGGTGTGAGTTTTAAGCTACTGGGTCTGGGATGCGAACTGCGGTCAACTACATGGGAGTCCAGCGACATAGCCATTACGCTAACTGCTGGTCCCATCTACCCCTAAATTCTTAAGCATGTACTTCCTAACAACAAAGAATTTACATATATAATTATAGTACACTTATCAAAATCAGGAAAAAATTAGTAACACAATATTTCTATTTAGTCCAATCTTAGTCATGTTTTGTCAGTTTTTCCAGTAATATCCTTTATAGCAAAAGAGAATACAAGATTATTCATTACATTCTGTTGGCGTGTTCTTTTAGTCTTCTGTAATCTGTAGCAGTTCTCAAGTCTTTGTATTTCGTTACAGTGACATTTTTCAAAAGAAGAGAACACATATTGGGTTGTCAAGAAAGTCATGATGTGTTTTTTAAATGTTTTTCTATACAAAAATGAGTCATGACTTTTCCAAAAATCCAGCATTTTATAGAATGTTTCTTATTTTGGTTTGTCTAATGTTTCCTTATGATTAAGTTATTCAATTTGGGCAGGAATATCACAGAAATGAGGCTAAATTGACTTCAGGTGTTGTTTTGTCTGGTCACAGATGATGATTTTAACTGATCATTTGGTTAAGGTGGTGTCTGTGAGGTTTCTCCACTGTAAAGTCAGTATTTTATTATTTTTAACTAAATATCTTATAGGGGAGATACTGTGATACTATGTAAATATTTAATTACTACTCAAACTTCTCTCACTCATTTTAGCATCCATTAATAATTCTTGCCTAAATAGATCATTATTATGATAGTTATTAAGTGGTGATTTTCTAATTTCATCATTCCTTCTACCACCATTCCTTTCTATCATAAGGAGGAGCTTCTAAACTCTTACCCCCATTTTTTATTCATTTATATCAGTGTGAATTCATGGGTTCTTTATTCACTAGGTTTTAATCTTCTTTTAAGTTTATTTTTTATTTTTTAGTTTTTCACTATAGAGCACTTGCACTCACAAAGGGGGGAGTATAAGAAATTACCCTCTTGGGGCTGGCCATATCACAGTCTCTTTTCCATTCTCTTAGAATTTTGGGCACCAGGCACATGTGCCCAGCAAGGTTTTCAAGCCACAGGGTTCAGTACTTGAACTACATAGTTGGCCATGTGGGATCCAACATCTTAACCACCAAGCCATATGCTGGCCCCTATAATCTTTTATTATAATTATTTATTTTCATATTCAAATTGTCCCAAATTTCAACAGGGGGAACCCCTTTTAGTTGGCTCATATATTCTTTTGATATGTCTCAATCATTTTTTGAGAACTAATTTACGTTTCGGCCCAAAAAGATGTTCCATGATGTTTAAATTTTTTATCCTATGTCTTTAGTTATGCTTTTAGAATGAATGAAGGCATAACCAGGCTTCTAAATAATGAACTTTGGTGATAGTATGAAAGAACAGAAAATGGGGGGGGGAAATGTAATTGCTTCTGTCTAGGTTTGAAATATTTTTTTTTTTTTTTTTTTTTGAGATTGCTATAGGGCATGTGTGCTCGCCAAAAAGAGAGAGACAGAAAGCGAGAAATCACCCCCCAGGGGGGAATGGCCACCCTGCAATCTCTCTCCTCCATTCTCCTCTTGGGATCTTGGGCACGCACGCACACACACCCAGTATGAGTTTAAGTCACCGGCTCTGGGACTCAAACTGTGGTTGACTACATGGGAGTTCAGCGATATAGCTATTATGCTAACTGCTGGTCCCCTAGGTTTGAACTCTTTAGGAGTGAGAAGCATAGTTGTTTATTTTGTGAGGATTAATCCGTGAGGACCTGTAGTTTGGAATAGGGAAAAACATTAGGTGACTCTAAAGCAAAATCTAAACCTCAGTGAAGAAGTTGATAAAATATCCTTAAATCAGATAAAGTACTTCTAATGTTTTTTATCCTTGGTTTAGCTCTCTGAAGAGTGGATAGCTGTAGATTCATAGTTGCAACATTTATTAATCTCTTCAGAGGTCACACATTCACAAACTTGCCTATATTGATATTTTGAGAATTCATGGAGTCCCTGAAGCCTGCCCATGGAAGCTTAGCTAACCTTACACAAAAGATAATATAATTACCAATCCTTTATCTTCTTAAATGATTCCCCTAAATCAATCCATGTGGAATGAAAGTCTCACTTACTTTTCAAAATTTTTGTGGAGGGGCCAGTAGGTCTCATGGTGGTTAAGGCTCTAGGCTTCCACTTGGCCATCCTGGACCTCGCTCCTTGCTTTCTCACTTCCCTTCTCTCTCTCTTTCTCTCTCTAGTAAAATTAATAATACTAAGTAAAATTAAGTAAATAATTTTTTAGAGTTTTTTGCTATAGGGTGCATGCACTCGCCAGAAAGACAGAGGTAGAGAGACAGAAAGCGAGAAATCACCCCTCAGGGGTTGGCCACACCGCAATCCCTTCTCCTTCTTTCTCCTCTTGAGAGCTTGGGCATGCATGCACACACGCCCAGCATGAGTTTAAGCCACCGGGCCCAGGACTTGAACCGTGGTCCACTACATGGGAGTTCAGCGACATAGCCATTACGCTAACTGCTGGCCCAAATTGTTTTTAAAAAAATTAATTTTTGTGGGAAAAATTTTTTAATCTTAAGGACCTGATAGATTACTACTTAGAAATTTAAAATGTGGGACCAGCAGATGATGTAATGGTTACATCACTGGACTCCCACAGTCAATCGCAGTTTGAGACCAGGACCCAGTGGCTTAAAACTCATGCTGGGTGCTCACTTTAGCAGCACTAAAATTGGAATGATACAGAGAAGATTAACATGGCCCCTGTACAAGGATGACACATAAATTCTCGAAGCATTCTATATTTCAGAAGAAAAAAAACACAGTGGGTGCGTGTGCATGCATACCCAAAACCCCAAGAGGAGAAGGGACTTCAGTGTGTCCATCCCACCAGGGTGATTTCTCACTTTCTGTCTGTTTCGGGTGCATGTGCCCTATAGCAAAAATCTCCCTCAAAAAAAAGAAAAGAAAAGAAATTAAAAGATCCACCTTAACTTACATTTCATGTTTCTTTTTGTTGATGTTTGATTACTCAGGGGAAATGCTGCGCAAGAAACGAAGGGAGAAGGATGGCCACAAAGACCCACTCCTGGTGGAGGTCAGTCGGCTTCAGGATAACATTATGAAAGATATTGCAGAGCTACGACAAGAGGCAGAAGAGGCAGAAAAGAAGCAATCTGAACTGGACAAAGTGGCTCAGATATTGGGAATTAACATCTTTGATAAATCCCAGAAGTCTTCAAATGACAGTAAAGAGCCTATAGAGAAGCCTGGAAAGGTGGAGAAATCTAAGAGCCCAGAAAAAGTGTCATCATCATCAAACTCCTCCTCCAACAAGGTAACAGCTCACCTTTTCCATTTCCATTATGTTATCTTGTATCTTTTTCCACATAGACTTGTATATAAGCTTTCTGATGGTAAGCATTGTTTTTCCAACTGTTCTCACTTTCATTAGAATTACTGATTCGTCAGAAAAGTCATGACGCGTTTTTTGCATAGAAAAACACAGAAAAGTATGTCATGACTTTGCTTATGACCTAATATTACATAAAGTATAGATCAGATCATCGTACTCCTCTGCAGAATTTTAGCAGTTCCCTTTTTGCCCACAAAGTAGAATCCCAAATCCTTAGCATGCAGGGCCTCACACAATCTTATTTCCAGCATTTTCTTTTTAACCCACTCCAGTCTATCTGCTAATCTTCTCACAAGTTGTATATACCATTTCAGGATTCACATTTAGCAACTATGTTTCTGTGTAGGTACTAAACATAGATAAATATCCATAAATAAAATGGATATTCTTTGCTCCTCAAATCAATATATGATGCACACAGCCACTTTCTTCCACAAATGCTCTCTTCCTTTGGCTGCTTTCATACTTCTATTTGTTTTGTTTCATTTTGTTTTGCTATAGGGTATGTGCACTCACCAGAGAGACAGACAGAGGGAAAGTGAGACATCATTCCCTGGGGGGGATGGCCATGGCACTGTCCCTTCTCCTTCATTCTCCTTTTAGAATTTTGGGCATGCACATACATGCACCCAGCGTGTTTTTCAAGCCACCAAGTCCAGGACTGAAACCATGTGGTTAGCCATGTGGCATCCAGCTACCTAAACCACCATGCCACCAGCTGGCTCCTATTTTCATACTTCTTTTCCTCCTAGTACATTGGCTGCTGTCCCTCAGATTCCTTTGTTGCCTGTACTCATATACTTGATCTTCAAATATTTTAGTAGTTCTCAAGACTCAGTCTGAGCCCCATTCTCCAGAATTCTGCTCTTTTCCCCTAGACTATTTCATGCAGTTCCATGCTGTGTGACAACATGCAGTTTTATATTCTAGCTCAAACAATTCTTACGTGTATCTAACAGCCTACTCACCACCTCTACTTCGTTTTCTCATAGGCACCTTAAGTTCGTCATGTCTTGAAACTAAATTAAAAATTGTATTTAACCTCCCTCCAACTTTCTCTTCTTCTAGTGCTATCCATTCTCAACTAATGGCACCCCGTCCAAAAATTTTTTGCCATTGACCTGAAAAACATTCTTAGTGCTTCCCTCTCCCTAAACTGCTCCATACCCAGTTACAGAGTCTGTCAGCTCTCCTTCCAAAGTAAACCTCAATTTTATCTACTTTAATTTCCATTTCCATTGAAGTTCAAGCCACTTCAATCATTCCTTGTACTGCTATGTTCTTTATCCTTTTTCCTTATATAGCCAGTGATTGTGATACTTCTTGGCCCACCTCTTCAACCTCATTTCTTGCCTCTTTTCTCTTTTGCTTCTTATAATTTTATTACTAGCCTCTTCATTCCTTAAATGGACCATCCCCTGTAATTCCTTTGCATCTTCTTTTCTCTTTCTTTGCCATGCAAACCCAACTTTTTCCTTATCCCCTCTAGCTAACTCATAATCATCTTTCAGATTACAGCTTAATTTACTTCCCTCTCTTCCCTGATTCCTCAGACTATTAAATTTGCTTGGTTTATACTCTCATTATATCTTGTAATTTTCTTCCTTAGAATTTATAACAGTTGTGATTATATAATTATATAAGTTCCTCCAGTTAGATTTTAATGTTCAAAGGATCAGGGCCATATCTCTTCTTCTCCAGTGTAGTACCTAGAAAAGAGCTTAGTACCTTGCATGTAGTAATGAATAGTCTTCAAGTTGTATTACACTACATCTGATACTCCTGCCATCTCCAAATTTTCCACATGGCCAATATGCCATTACACCGCTCTGATTTCGCATTAATAATTCTCTTAACTTGAAATAATCCCAGCCACACTCATCTGTCATGTTCCAACTTGATACTACTTTCTTCCTGAAGAATTTCCAGAATTCCATTCAGATTTAGTCAGTCCTTCTTTAGCATTTCCATAATATATTATTCATTTGTTTGTAATATTCATTTCATTCTGTCTTAAAGACTGTTCTCATGTCTGTCTTCTCCACTAAATGAGAGCTTTCTTTTTTTCCTTTTTCTTTTTTTGGAGAGTTTTTTTTCTTATTGGGCGTGTACGCTTGCCAGAAAGACAGAGAGAGACAGAAAGCGAGAAATCACCCCCCCAGGGGGGATGGCCACACCGCAATCCCATCTCCTCCATTCTCCTCTCGGGATCTTGGGCATGCATGCACACACGCCCAGCGTGAGTTCAAGCCATTGGGTCCAGGACTCGAACCGCTGTCAACTACATGGGAGTCCAGCAACATAGCCATTACGCTAACTGCTGGTCCCTAAATGAGAGCTTCTTAAGGATAAAAATGTATAACTTGGGACCAGTAGATGGCATAATGGTTCCATCACGGTTTGAATCCCAGACCAAGTGGCTTAAAATTTACACCAGGCACATGTGCGTGTGTGCCCAAAATCCCAAGAGGAAAATGGAAGAGAAGGGATTGCTATGTGGCCATCCCCCCGGGGAGTGATTTCTTGCTTTCTGTCTATCTGTCCAGCAAGTACACAGGCCCTATAGCAAAAATGTCTCTCAAAAAAAGTTTTTTAAAAGAGTATAACTTACTAATCTTTGTGTTTCCTGCTGCATCCATAATATCTAGTACATAGTAGATGTTTTGTTAAAGTTGAAGGGCTAGAGAAGAGGATATTCTTTATCCAGCAACCAAGCTCTAATTTCTCCCTATTCTCTTGCAAGAGATCTCTTTTTGAACCAGGTAGGATTGTAGTCTGTATACCTAGCCTGCGTCCAGGGCCTTTGATGGGAGAAAAGCTTGAAAGTTCTGGCCTTTGATAGTTGACTTATTCATTAGGGTTCTGTTTATATACCATCCCTTGATTTGGGTGAATCTTAATGTTCTCTGAAGCTAACAAGAACTTGTTAAATTTGGTTTTTATCTCAGCAGTAAGGAATGCTGTATTTACAACCTTTCTTAACTATATTTCTTCTTCCTTTTGGTTTGAGGTTTTATTTCTCTTGAGTTTTTTTTTTTTGTTGTTGTTGTTGTTTGTTTGATTTTCCAGAAAACTATGCATACAAGAACCCACAATTTCATCTACTTACAGATAATTTTTTTTAAAGATTTATTTGATTCCATTTGTTATTATTATCCTTTTTCTTTTCCTTTTTCTTTTTCTTTTTCTTTTTTCTAATTCAACCAGACAAAGACAGAGAGAGAGAGGGTGAGAAAGGGAAAGCGAGGGACCAGCAGTTAGTGTAATGGCTATGTCGCTGGACTCCCACGTAGTCGACCGTGGTTCGAGTCCTGGACCCAGTGACTTAAACTCACACTGGGCACGTGTGCGTGCGTCCCCAAGATCCTGAGAGGAGAATGGAGGAGAAGGGATTGTGGCGTGGCCATCCCCCCTGGAGGGTGATTTCTCACTTTCTGTCTCTCTGTCTTTCTGGTGAGCACACGCGCCCTATAGCGAAAACCTCTCCAAGAGAAAGCAAGCAGCCAGAGGTCGGAGACTTTTTACCGTGGTCAGCCATGTGGGAATCCAGCACCCTTAACCACCATGCCACCTGCCACCCCCCCAGATAACTTTCTTTCGAGTTGGAGAGAGGGAATACACAGGAGGGGAGAGAAAGAGATAGGTATTTCTGATGGGGTCTTGTCCTATGACAAGGCTATTTCTCAGCCTCCTAGTTAGATAAAACTACAGGTGAGGGCCACTACACCAAGCTTATTTGGGTTTGGGCAGAAACCAAACGTGGGCCTCCCATGAGACCCTCCATGCAGTAGCATTCTTCTGTTTGTGTCACTTTTGCTGGGCCAAGATAACTGTTAATGGCACTTTGGTATATATTATTCCAATGTTCTTTTCTGTTCTTTAATTCATTTAATAGCAATTTACTGATCACCAGGAAAGTATAAGGCATTAGTCTAACTGTAGGAAGTATAGCAAGAAATAGTATAGACAAAATGCATATCCTTGTGAAACAAGGAAAGACAGTAAATAAAAGAGTACATGTTGAATAATAACAGATGCCTAAAAAAAAAACAAATAAAAGAATGTCTTTTGTATAAAGTGTCATTTAACATTCTATGCCTATTTACATATCTTTATCAATTATTCAAGTGTATTTTGTTACTTTTCTCAGAATATCATGAACATCTTTCCATGTCAAGAAATATATTAACACATCTATGTTTTTAATGACCTTATTTTTCTGTTGTTGTTTTTGTTATATAGATAGCAGAATTTATTTAACCAATCAATTCACTTGTTTTATAAAATAATTTTCTTAAGATAAATGTTAAGGAGTGGAATTGCTGGGTCAAAGGGTATACAGAATTTCAAGGCATGAATGTGTATTCCTACATTATTTTCCAGAAGATGGTGCCAGTTAATACTCCTAACAACAGTGTATGAACTTTCCCATTCCCTATCTGCTGAGGATGATCTCTTAAACGACTCTTGAATCAGATTGTAATAGGGAAAAAGCTCAAAGGTTTTAAGTCTAAATTGTCTCTCTCTTTCGATCCTATCTTTGTTTCCCTTTTTCCTCCAATCTTCTTTTCCCTGGCCCAGTTCTCTCATATTGTCTACTCTGTAACCCTGTTCATACTTAATCCTATCTGTGTTGCAAAACTCTCTGTTTCTATGCCTTATTCCCCAACATTAACCAAAATGCTCATTTCCTGAGTATCTTGTTCCCAAGTTAGTGACAAATTAATTCATACTAAAGTGTTTATTATCGCTAACTTAATGTTGGGAAACGTATCTGTTTTGAATAAGGATTCAGGTTAATGTAACATTATTAAATTTTAACAGTGATTAGGATCAGGAATTTTTTTTTTCTTTTAAGTTTTGCTGTAGGGTGTATGTGCTTGCCAGAGAGAGAGAGAAAGTGAGAAGACACCCCCAGAGGTGTTGACCACACCACAGTCCCATCCCTTCCTTTCTTTTGAATTTTGGGCATGCGTGCACATGCATCTGGTATGATTTTCAAGTCTATGTCTGGACCCAAACCACACAATCAGCCCTGTGGGATCCAGCACCTTAACCTCCATGCCACCTGCTAATTCAGCAGTTAGGAATTTTTTATCTAGTTTCCTTCAAGTCATCCTGCATAGATGACTTCTACGTTATGTACAAAATATTAGGCCTACTCTCCTGTTCTCCAAAACCAGAATTTATAAAATAAGTAGTTTACTATAAGTCATTGTCAGCATTTACTTTGCTTCGCTTGTCAATTGCCTTTTCCAGGGACCAGTAGTTAGCGTAATGGCTGTCGCTGACTCCCACGTAGTCGACTACGGTTCGCGTCCCAGACCCAGGGGTTTAAACTCACGCCAGGCACGTGTGCGTGCGTGCCCAAGATTCTGAGAGGAGAATAGAGGAGAAGGGATTGCAGTGTGGCCATCCCCCCAGGGGATGATTTCTTGCTTTCTGTCTGTCTGGCAAGCGCACACGCCCTATAGCAAAAACCTCTCAAAAAAAAATTGCCTTTTCCATTTTGATATTTTTTTCCTCTCTGGTCATCGTCATGATTTTTAAATGTGTAACATCTTCAGCATCTTCCCAAGGGTATATAATGAAAAGACTCCTACCTACCCTTGTTCTCTAGTTTCCTTCCCCACAAGCAGCCAATATTTCCATAATCCTGGGTAATTTTCTAGAGATATTTTAGGATATATAAGTAAATACATTGCTATTATGATTTACCTTCATGATGTGGTAGCACTATCTAGTCTAGTTCTCTTTGAACCTTGGAGATAGATTTCTCTTGGGATTTCTCCCAGCTTGTGCAAGCTTTAGGTATTGGAAAAGGAGTCAGATAGCTTTTTTTCTGTTATTGGGCCACTTACTTTTCCTGAGAAAAGACAGATCTAAACTGCCTTGAATTCCTTGTAAGTGCAAGTTTTTCTCCTCTAGGAATCAAAAGTAAACAACGAGAAGTCCCGTACTAGGAGCCCCAAGCCTGCCGAAATTCCCCAGCCAACTGCTAAGCAGTCTGATCAGCCCATTCCTGCCTATGAGTATTATGATGCTGGCAATCACTGGTGCAAAGACTGTAACACCATCTGTGGGACCATGTTTGACTTCTTCACTCATATGCATAATAAGAAGCATACACAGGTAGGTGACCTGTACTCTGTTTTTTCCACTCTCATTCTCATTTCCCTCAAACTTCTGTACCCCTGACTGCATTACAAAGCTGGAAAATGAAACATTCTCATATGGGCAGGAGCCCCAATCTGAAGAGCCAAGAGATACCAACAAAGGAGACACCATCCCCAGGGCTCGGTCCAGGGGATCTACCTATAACTAAACACCATGACAAGTGTAAGTGAGGCTTCTGACTCTTTTGATTCCTTGAGTACCAGATATTGTTTTTGTTTCATTTTATCTGTTTTAATACTTGCTCTAACATGTGTTTACCTTTTCCACAGGTGATTTCCGTTTAAACAGTTGGCAGAGAGGGTGGGGGTGGGTAGCTGGGGACGTTTGGTCCTCTAGTTTTCTATGTGGGGGAAAAAAGAAAAGTGGGTCATTGAGTTTTTAGTGCTGTTGTGTGAGCACCTCTGCCTCTTGCAAATAGACACTGGATCCCTACAACAGACCTTGGGCTTCAAAGACCCAGACTGAGGCCAAGCAAGATACTGTAAAACGCACTGACAAGATAACTGTTCCTGCAAAAGGTATGTTTCCTCCTTGCCTCTTCTGTGATTTCCTTATATTCGGCCAAGGAAGAGGTGTCCCTGAACCAAAGTACTAGGAAGCAGCACAGTATGGGACATAGCTATTCCTTTTAACAAAGCTGTAAGAACACTGTCTGTGTGTAAAACAGTGTGCTATGTCGTGAAGATATAAAGAGACCTGTAAGACAATGATCTCTATCCATCTAGCCAAAAAAAAAACTATTAATAGATATTAAAAATATACATACCACTTAAAATATAGCACAAAAACTGCCTTTGTCAGTGGCTTATGCACCAAACTCATATTTATTTGAAATTGAGGTTTAAAAGAACTGTAAGAGATATAGTAATTTAACTGCCTTTTCAACCAAAAACTGTAAAATATTTTTAGTTGATATTAAGGGATAAGTCAAGAAGGAGAAAGTTTCTTTTTCTTTAGATGTTTCATTTCTTTACCTTCACAAGTAGTTGGTGCTGCTGCTATGTCCTTCAGAAGATAGACTCCTGAATAATTAATACCAACATAAAAGATCATCATACAAATGGTAGTGAGATATTTGGGATAGTTTTTAAATCTTCTAAGATGCTTCATACTAGTTAGAGTTTGAGGAAAATCAACAACAGGAATGGGTCTGGTATAGGAAACTCCTGAATTAACTAGTTAGTGTTGTCAAGGTGTAGAAGACATAGAGATCTAGAGTTCAAGCTTTTGGTTGGGAAATTATTTGATTGGGATTCATCTAAATGCTACTTCTGACTTCAAGAAGGAAAAAGTCTCTAAACCTTACCATTTTACTGTAAAAGAGTGATGGGATTTCCTTTGGTTACTATCATCCTGGGTGAAAATGACACATTTTCTTGACATTTTTTCTACCTCTTCCAGGCTCTGAGTTTCTGATTCCCATCACTGGATTTTATTGCCAGCTCTGTGAGGAATTTTTTGGGGATCCAATTTCTGGAGAGCAACATGTGAAGGGTCACCAACACAATGAGAAATACAAGGTTGGTTTTTGTAGTAGTCTGTAGAGTTTCCCACTATCTGTGGTAATTCTTTTGACTTTGTCAAACAAATTCAGAGCCAGAAAAAGTTACTGACACTTCAGATTTGATACAACCACTGGGAAGCTTCCTTTAATCCTAGTGAGAGATGCTAAGCTGACAGGACCATCTATATCCTTGAGGAAGATTACTCTAGAGACTTCTACCAAATGACTCTTAACACTTATAGGACCAAGATTTTATCTCTTAAGTGTTTTGAACCAGTTATTGAGTCTTTTGTCTTTTCTCTTCCCAGAAATATGTGGATGAAAACCCACTGTATGAGGAGCGGCGGAATCTGGACCGCCAAGCTGGCTTGGCTGTCGTCCTGGAGACAGAACGGCGACGACAGAGTGAACTAAAGCGCAAACTTACTGAGAAACCAAAGGAAGAGAAAAAAGAAAAAAAGACAAAGATAGTGAAAGAAGTAAAGGAAGATGACAAAGTCTCTGAGGAACTAGAGGGCCAACTCTCTGAGGGTGGGAGCTCCCCTGAAAAAGCTGAAAATAAAAGGAATGCTAGCATCAAACTCCAATTAAAAGAGGAGATAAAGAAAGAATCATCAACATCATCTTTTGGGAAATTCAGCTGGAAAAAGCCAGAAAAAGAGGAAGAAAAAAGTTCAATGGTGGCCCCAAGTATATCTAAGGAAGAGACTGTGGATAGCAATAAGGACAAAGAGGATGGCAAAGCTGAAGCTGGGAAAGCAAAGCCCATCAAAATCAAGCTCTCTGGGAAAACTGTTGTTGCACATACCAGCCCTTGGATGCCTGTTGTGACAACTTCATCGCAAACTAAGATCCGACCCAACCTGCCTATCCCATCCACAGTACTCCGTAAGTCAGGTTCAGCCACAGTGAGCAAACCAGCTCCTCTTAATACCTTTCTGTCCATCAAGTCCTCTGGAGCTACTGCTAAACCTCTACCAGTGGTTAAAGAGTCTTCAGCTGATCTTCTTTTGCCTCCAGACATCATCTCCAAAGCATTTGGAGGGGAAGAAGTGATTCTAAAGGGATCTTCAGAGGAAAAAATGGTGCTGGCTGAAAAGAATGAGCCATCTCATTTACCGGGGCAAATACTACCACCGCCACCACCACCACCACCTCCACCTCCACCACCACCCCCAGTTATACCTCATCCAGCTGCCCCATCTGCTGCTCAAACGAATACTGTCTTGGCTCCAGTAAAATCAAACCCAGTTATATCTCAGACTCTTAGCCCTGGCTTCCCAGGTCCTAACTTTTTGAACCCAGTGTTGCCTGTAGCCATCATGGCCTCAGCACAGCCAGTTACTATTCCTTCTGATGAGACAGCTCCTGGGGTGAGTGAGAGTGACCGGGACCAGACCCTATTGTCTGTATTGGTACGTCCTCCGCCACCCCTTTCAAGTGTGTTCAGTGAGCAAGCCAGAAAATTGGAGAAGAGAAATTCATGCTTGGCCACAGCCAATGCCAAGGATCTGTATGACATATTCTATAGCAGTGGTGGAAAGGGGGCCCCTGAGACTAAGCTGAGTAGTGTTCCATTGGCCAATGGGGAAAATAGCAACCTCTCTAAAACTGAAAGTTCAGATACCTCTCCTACTTCTCCGCACAGCAGTGCATCCCCAGAGGAATTGCCTCAAGATAGGGATTTGGTCACTGCCTCTATAGTCAGCAACCCTGAAAAGCCCATTGCAAAAACTCTGGCATCCTTAGGGAAATGGTCAGTTGGAGAGCCCATAGAGCCAAAAGGCAGCAGGTATGGCTTCCTACAGCCTCTGACAAGGTTATGCCAAAGCAGACCTTATGAAACTATTAGCCCAAAAACAAACACTTTGGCCATGTGGACTTCTGGCTCCTTCCAGAGTGACATTAATAGTGATACAGCTCCAGAGGGGAAAATCAAGCTTGACCTTGGAGAGCCAGGGCCTCCTGGTCTAGAATCAGCCCCTCAACTTTCAGATATACACTGTTATACCAAGGAGTCTCAGAAGTTGGTAAAAATCCACCTAATAGAATCTGGTAACCAGGATAAGGAAAGCCAGGAAATCCACCAATCTGAGGATTATAGAGAAAGTGAGGGAGAGACAAACACTGAACTAAAAGGAAGGATGATAAAGCTTTCTGAGGAGATGGTTGAAGTGAGAACAGGTATCAACCTTGAGCCCCACAGCACAGAAGATTCTAATTTGAACCATGGGAATAGATACATGTGGGAAGGAGAAATAGAACAGCCCAAATTGCTAATGATTGACAAAGAAACTGAACAGTCTAAGAAATTCCTGACAGGAAGTGAAACTTCAAGTAAAGTGGTGATTGAATTGGGTGCACAGGCGCTGTCTTCCACAAAGACAAAAATAGACTCATTTCCATCTGAAGCTAGGTCTTTACCCCAGAACCCACAAGATATACCTGTGAACATTTCTGCCCCACAATTGTTTCTTAGGTCCCCAGTCAGATTAGATATGTGTTCTACAGACAGTCCACAGGAACAAGAAGTTTCAGTTGATAGTGAAGAGTGGCTAGATAATTCAGCTCCAGAACCAGCTGCTAGAACTTCTAGATACAGAAACCTCAAACTTAAGAGAATTTCTAAAGACCTTCAAGATAAAATGATCTATGATCTCACTATTTGGGATGAGGACAAGAAGCCAGAAACCTGGAAGAGCCCAGACAAACCAGAAGTAGAAACTGTGGAGCTACGAAATGTACATCCAGAATTAACAGTGACAAGAGAGAGCAAGGCCTTAGATGACTCTGATGCTCCAGACTTAAAAGCAGAAGAGCTTGCTGCCCTGGGGAATCTGGGGGATAGGCATGTTGACTTCTGCAATACTCCAATAAATCCAGTACAGAGATCCCCAACTGCTCTACCTCAGAAAGTCTGTGAAGAAAATTCTGAATCACCTATAGGGTGTAATCCCTCTAATCCTGCTAATTTTGAACGAATCTCATCTTTTTCTGGGTTTCCTTTAGATTCTCCCAAAACCTTGGTGCTTAACTTTGAGACAACTGATGAACAAAATTCATCTAATCCCAGAAGTGGGTGGATTACTTCTAACATTTTGAAAACTGGACTTCCCAAAGAAAATGTTGACCGAGGCTTGGGGGTTCTAGAGGGAACACACCAGGCTCTTGATTTGTTAGCAGGAGGAATGATGCCTGAGGAAGTAGAAGGTTCCCAGTTAGAGAAACAAGAATCACTCAGATTGGAATCAGAAACAATGAATCCTGCAGGACTTGGCCCATCTCCTTGCCTTCCAGACCTTGTTGACTTTGTCACACGGACATCTGGAGTTCAAAAAGAGAAACAATGTTCTTCTCTCTCTCAGCCAGGTGACCCTCCGAAGTGTAGTTCCCTCGAGATGGGACCACTGCAGCCAGTAATGCCAAATGCAGTCGTCACGGAGGTAGCAGTTCCTCAAGTAGATGAAGACAATGACAACCCTTTGAATTTGTTAACACCAGCTTCAGAGTCCCCTCCAAGGGAGCAAGTAGTTGGAGGCAATATGATTTCTCAGGAAATGCCTGAACAAGAAGCTACAATTAATACCATCCAGAACCATACAGAATCTAGTATTCACAACTAAGAATATATAAACCCAGAGCTACTTGTGGATGAATCAAATTGGTGTCTAAAAATCAGATATCCAGTTGAACCAGGACTAGTTGGCTGTCTCATCTGGACCCTACACCAAGAATTACAGTCAGCATCTTAATAGTAAATGTCCATGGAAGCTAAAAAAAATTATCTCCTTTTCTTTTTTTCCCTTCCCCTTAAAATATCAGACAAATCAATCATAACTTCTATACATATCTGTAAAAAAGCATTTTATGTTAAAAATTTTTTTGGCCAATTTATTTTCTCTTATTTTGTCATTAAAATCAAATGTCTATCTGGCTCACCACATAGTGTGCTTTGATTGTATTTTGGCTTTGACTCTGCCATTTCTGGAATGTGGGGGAGGAGGGAGACAGAAATGACCTCTCTGTTTGCTATGTTGTACTCCTACTACATTTCCTGGGCAGCTGATGGAAAACTTGCTGAAATGAAAAACTCAAAGAATTGTTCATCTCTTAGGCCTCCATTTGGGTTGGCCTATCTTAACATTTGAAATGCAGCGTGAGTAGCTCTTTTGTTTACTTCCCTTATTGGCATGTCAGCTCCTGTACTCCCCTTACTCTGTTGCCTTTGCTTGAGATGGTCCTGTTAAACCACAGACCTGTTTGGAAATTGCCTCAGTAAACGTGGAAGAAAATCGGGCGTCTTTTGGAAGACGACAAATCGGTAAGGTTTCCTTATGGCTTAGTCCCAGGAACAGATATGTTTTTGGGGTCACTTTTATTTTTGACATGGCCTTTCTTCATTGTATTGTGATCCAGTAATACTTTGTATTAAATTGTATTAAATTATTTAGCAGCCTTTTGTGTTTTGAAGAGATAAAAGAACTGAAACTTGTCTTGGGATTGGACTTGTTCTGTGTTCCACAAACCCATGTGTATCCCTTCCTCTACCTCCTCCTTTCTCAAGTTATTTCCACCATAATATGATGTTTTGGGTTGTACATTTTGTTAAAAAGATTAAAGAATTTATGAGTTGGATTGGACAAGTTTAACTTTATTTTTAATGTGTTGATTACTTGGAATAAATGCATTAATCTCATGTTTCTTTCTGGGTTTTTGTTTTGAAACCACACACATTTGAACTCCAGAGGAAAACTAAAACAATGAACCCCCGCTAACCTACCCTCTATACTCACACTCAGCCATTCTTTCCCATTTGTCAAAGTTTGACATGCCAGAATATTATAGTCTGTGCCCCAGTGTTGCCTGAACAGGTAGTGAATAGGCACCAGTGGTCTGGTATTGGCTTCTGCCTATTATAGAGTGTTTTTTGTTTGTTTATTTTAATATATATCTTGTGTTGACTTTCCCTAGGTTCTCCTGGGAACTGAACTCTCCCAGAATAGTCAGGTTCTTGCTGAGGTTGCTCTTAAGAGTCAGGCAGCTCAGTCCTCAGACTTTCTCTGTTCCAGCTTTTTCTTGACATCTTTGTTATCAGCAGTTTATAACTTGACTCAACAGAGGCTTCACAGTCCTGATACTCTACCAATTCCAGAAAGATAATGTAAAATTGCTGATTTTTAAAAATTTTGATTTATCTGTTTCTTTGTATATAGAGCTCCAGAATCCCTAGGTTACATTTGAGAAGGCTATTTAATTTTTCTGGAGCTTTGAGTAACATCAATTTAAAAGTCATCCTGACTTCTCTTCATTGTGTTGTGAAGGGCACAGATTTGGGAGAGCTAGATCCTTGAATATGGTTCAACCATTTGCTTTGCTGTGATTTCGAACAAGTTCCTTTTCCTCACTCTGCCACAGGCTTTTTTATTTGTGTTTGTTTTTTCTTTTAGATGAGGATCATTATTTCCATCTCAGTACTAGGTTTATATAAGATCAGGCCATCCTGAGTAATCTTTTTAGGCCTGCTTTTTAGACTGAAGCCTGAGTTAAATTCCTTTTCTGTTCTGGAAACCACTGTTTAATTCAGAAGGTGCTCTTTAGAAAAGCTCATACTCAGATGAGCTTCAAAGAGAGATGTTTGCCTAGGGAACTACTCCCTCCCCATTCTACCTCCCCATTCTAGAAGGTTACCTATAGGAATCTGAAGAACATAAGTTTAAAGTGCTGGTTGTACTGATTTTCAGGCCTGCTCACTTAGTTCTCCCTTACTTTGGGGAGACACGTGGGTTAGGAAAAAAAGTTCAGAGAGTTTAGTCATATCGAGATTCCAATCCTACTCATACTTCCTCTCAGAGTGAGTTAAAATCTTACTCTCTAGGTTAGGAAGGGCCACTTGAGAGGAATGGAAAGGGAACAAAGGCAAAATCTAGGAAAGATAGAACTTGTTCAAAGAGCTGGAATACTCTGGTAGCAACCCCTCCTGTACTCTGGTAACTCAGGGATTTGTACCAAAGGCTTCTACCAATCTGGATCTTTTTCCCAAGCTAATGCTAATGTCTAAGAGTTGAAAGAATAGCATTCTTCATATTTGCCTTGAGCCAACAGAGGGTGAGCTTTCAGGTTTCTGTAGCCTGGGAAGGAAGTGATGCTGGCTTCTTCCTCTTTGGTCCCTAGTGGAATCTAGCTTTGGAGCTCTTCCAGAGAAGCCATATGAAAGGAAGGGCAGAATTATAATCCACTAACTAGTGCCTAGTTATGGATAGGGTATATTTCTTTCTCTTTACACAATACAATTACAATACTGAGTACATTTTCAGTTTAGGAGGCGGGCACATACAAGGAATAGGACCTAATCTTTGTATGTAGCTTCTGGCCTCATATAAGTGTTTCAGATTATTGTAAATGTAAGAAACAATTTTTATTGGACTGTGAAGACAAATAGTTATGTTTAAATTGAGATAAACACCTATTTTTAAAATATTTATTAATTTTATTTATTCATTCATTTTATTTTATTTGACCAGAGAGAGGCAGAGAGAGAAAGAGGGAAAGTGAGAAAGCAAGCCACCAGGTCCAGGACTTGAACCATGGTTGGCCATGTGGGAGTGTCCAGTGCCTTAATTACCATGCCACCTGCTGGCCCCCAAGATAAACACCTATCTTTATCTAAGTTACATAAATAACCCCCTAAAAGTTATACTTGGCTTTATAAATGGGTGCCTCCCACTTTATAAGCCATCTTTCTCCTATTCACGGGTGTTCAGTTCATGGGAAACATAATACTCTTGATATTCTTTCTGCTAGTGCTGCTGAATAATATAGCAAAGTAGTCCCACTTTACACCATCCCACTTTATCTCTCTTAAAAAATTAAGGAGTTAGCTAATGTTATGGTGGTAAAATATGCCAAAACGTCCATTTATCATTTATTTGACCAGAGAGAGGCAGAGAGAGAAAGAGGGAAAGTGAGAAAGCAAGCCACCAGGTCCAGGACTTGAACCATGGTTGGCCATGTGGGAGTGTCCAGTGCCTTAATTACCATGCCACCTGCTGGCCCCCAAGATAAACACCTATCTTTATCTAAGTTACATAAATAACCCCCTAAAAGTTATACTTGGCTTTATAAATGGGTGCCTCCCACTTTATAAGCCATCTTTCTCCTATTCACGGGTGTTCAGTTCATGGGAAACATAATACTCTTGATATTCTTTCTGCTAGTGCTGCTGAATAATATAGCAAAGTAGTCCCACTTTACACCATCCCACTTTATCTCTCTTAAAAAATTAAGGAGTTAGCTAATGTTATGGTGGTAAAATATGCCAAAACGTCCATTTATCAGACTGCCAGGTTCAAGGACTGAGGAAGAATTGGGAGTACGGGGGATGGGATACAGAACATATCTTGGACATAACAGGTGTATTGAAAAAAAAAGAAAAGTGGAGGATTGAGAGAAGAAATAACCTATAACAGGAATGAGACAGTTTTTAAAATACCTATTTGTATTCCTAAAACTTGGTTCTCTTCACCTTAACAGAGTTCACCTGATAAGCCAAGGGTAAGAACTTAAGCTGAGTTAGAGCCGGCAGGTGATGTGGTGGTTGAGGTGTTGGACTCCCACATGGCTGACCCACGGTTCAAGTGCCAGACCTGATGGCTGGCTTTCTCACTTTCCCTTTTCTCTCTCTCTCTTTCTCTTTGGTCAAACTAAAAATAATAATAACAAAGTTAAATAAATAATTCTTTTAAAAGACGAACTTAAGCCAAGTCTTTATTCATTATAGTTCATGTGAGTACATGGACAAATGAAAATAGTTTAGGATTGTGAGCACAATTTAGAGTTCATTTTACAATAATGTTTATGTAATTGTAATTTAGAACTTTTGTGTACAATAACAATATTGATTGATAAGCCATGAAGTTTAACTGACAGTAAAAATTTACTCTTAAAAAGTCGCCACTATCGGGGCCAGCAGGTGGCATTGGTGATTAAGGCACTGGATCTCACATGGGACTCCACGGTTCAAGTCCTGGATCTGGAGGCCTGAATATCATGCCAGGTGCATATATGAGCATGCCCAAAATCCCAAGAGGAGAATAGAGGAGAAGGAATTGCTATGTGTCCATCTTCCCCCCTTGGGGGGGTAATTTCTCACTTTCTCTCTCTCTCTTTTTCTGTCTGTCTTCGGTACATATGCCATAGGATAAAAAAATAAAATAAAACATCACGACTATCCTGATTGCTCTCAACCCATACATTCTCAAGCAGGAAAACATACATATACATGTATTTTTATACTGAGGCACTTAATGTGGTTATAATTTTACACTGTTTCCCCCAACTACAGAGAAGAAAGTTTTGTCTTTGGTTACTGTTTTATTCATGTCTTCACAATGCAGTTACCTGGCACATAGAGGGTGCTTAATAAAAATTTGTTGAAAGAATCACTGTGATATTAGTGCTGTTTTTATCAACTCATTATTAATACTTAGCAATTTATGAGTGAATCAAAACTAAATTTGTTTTAATTTGCTGGGTGCATAGTACTTTAAAAGCCAACAGTCCTGTCACTTCTGGGTCTTTGTATACACAGCACTGTCTTTAACTGTGTGTGGCTATCAAGGATACCAGTGGTCTCCTTATTTCAACAGCATTCTGGAATGATGCTGGTCCAGGAAGGGTACACACTGCCCCTATAGCTCCTAGAAGCAAAACAGGCTGGAAAGAGAGAATAAACAGGCCTGGGAGTTAGAAAAAAAAAAAATTGTTGTAGGAGTTCTTAATTTTCAGTTGTCCCCCTTTCTTTTTCCAGCCAGATTTCATAAACATATTAAAGTCAGTCAGTTACCTCTAATCTGGCTGAAGGAATAATAACTCGATATTTTATGGCCTAACATACTCTTGTCATTTCATCAGAGCTAACTTGGACTGTCAATTTTATTTCTGGAGGGAAACAAAAAAATGAAAAAACCTTTGGAAGATAGTGGAGGGATATTTTTACCTTTTTTGTACCTTCTGTTTCAACATTCTGACCATGAAAATACATTTTATATAGTATATAAATATTTTATACACATAAAATATGTACATATACACATATAAAATATAAAATGTTTATGTTAAGGATTATCTGATGCTGAAGA